TTCGGCAGTTAGTGCTTTTGGTATCATCTTAAAACTTTGTCACAATTTGTCGTGTTTTTATGACAAAATACCGATCTATCTTGAGTACAAGTTGAGATATTTGAGATTGAAATATGTCGGCGTTGCCTGGTATCAGAGTTTAAATTAGCGAAAAAATGACAGCCAAAATCTAGTGGCTTCAAAAGCTTTCTAGGAGACTGCAAATTAACTCTAGTGTGCTTTTGATCAACGTAAACAACCTATAAAATCCAAAAAGGGAAAGTAGGTTAAATGGACATGAAAGGTGTTAGCCAAACTACAGCCCACCTCCCCCTCCCCCGCAAAAAAAAACAAAAATAAATAAAATTGAAACAACAACAACGGCAACAACAACAGCAACAATAACAATAGCAGCAGCCGCAATAACAACAATAACAACAACAACCACCACCACGACAAAACAACAACAACAACAACAATAACAACACAAAAGATATAAATCGCCAAAAGAGCAAAAAAATGTTTTGGGTTGGGTTTTTTTCGATTTCATTTTTATTATTTTGTTGAGCACTTGATTTCCCCACGATGCCACACATTTTGATTTACAGCTCTTCTCTTCGTGTCATTAACAACCTGCATTAAAATAATCGTGAAATGAACCTTTTAGTTCAATACGCTGCAATTTGTAATTTTCTTTACAACTTTTTGTTGTAGTTGTTTTGTTTGTTGTTGTTGTTATTTTTTGCTTGTTTCAGTGTAGAGGTTTTACGTTTAGCATCCTATTGATTTTTTTCTTTCAACTGATCAGTATTCTTCTAATTGGCATTTAAAGGAAACATTACTATTTGTATCCAGTTGTGGATTTAAGCTCTTAGAAATATAAATTAATGAGTATTTCTTGAATCGATGTTGCTAGTTATTATGTTACGGAACTGACCTACATAATAGATCTATGTCTTATTTGCCCACTTGTTTGCGGAAATGCGCTATATAAATGCAATTTTTTATTTATTTATTTTTTATCGTTGTTCTTATTTCTCTTTGTGTATGTTCTAAGACATTATAACAATGTCAGTGGGTAAACTGTTAGCCCAGTTGGTATCTTACTCTCATTTAAACATCATGAGTGGGGTCTCTCGTGGCCTGGAGGTTAATATGTTCGCCTCTCATTCAAAGGTCTCAGGTTCGAATCCGGATTGCGACAGAAACATTTTGATCTCTAAAATTGTCTCCTTTCACCTTCTTTCCTGCCCTCTAGCAGTGTTCTGTCGTCTGCTTTCGCCCCCTCTTTCTGCCCCAACCCCCCTAACCTCCTCTGGCCTCTCCTCTGGGCTCCTAACTCTTTCTGCAGCCTTTCTACTGCCCCTTCTTTCAGCCACACCCCAGATCTTCTGGTAGGAAAGATGTACACCTAGCCTTCTCGGACATGGGCGAAAAATCTCAGTTGCAAGTTGCACGCATTAAAGATCCCTTTTTGGTCTGAAATCGACAAGACTAGGCTTCAGCCGCTACCTGGGCAAAATTCAAAATTTCCAACCATCTGAAAATGTTAGGTGTGTCCAGCGCGCTGATACTCATATTTTATTACCTTATGCAGTTGCAAGCGCCGTAATACACCTACCCCTCCCCCCCCCCCACCTCCGAAAAAAACCAATCCTTATTTATCAGAATCTACCCCGCCTCCCTTCATCTCTTACTCCTCTCAGGGCATATCTGAACTTGGGGTTGGGTTTTTATTTTATTTTAATTTATTAATTTATTTATTTATTCATTCATTTATTTATTTATTTATATATTTATCTATTTATTTTATTTTTATATATATATTTTTTTAATTTTTTTTAATTATTTTTTTTTGGGGGGGGGGGGGAGCGGTTTCCTGCGAAATTACCATTGTAGTAATGGGAATATTATACATTCCGTCTTGCGTCAATGTTTTCAAATAACCCAACTTTTGTTTTATTTCCATTGCATACTCTGCTTTTACTTAAGCGTAACCCATAACACCAGAGTTGCAGCACCCAGAATACTCTTTGTGTTTCGCGTGTATTTATTTTGCTTGTACAGCGATTTCATTTTAGACTCTCAAACACTGAACACGTCCCATTGTCTCCAGACAAGAAAAAAACAACAACAACAAAAAATCCCAAAAAACCTCAAGGAAGTGGTAAAAACCCGCTTCCCTCTTTGTCTTCCTACTCTTTTTTCTGCAGAAAGATGTCCTTGGGCTACAGGGGAATGCATTACGTGCATCAATGTGAAGGTCACTGAGGGAAAAAAGGACAGAAAAAAGAAACAATGGTAAAAAAAATTAAGCAAAATAATTCGTAGTTAGCTGGTGTTTTTGTTTTTTTGTCCCATAGTTAATGGACTGTTTTATTTTGCATTGTTTTTTTGTTTTTGTTTCTGTTTTTTTTTTGTTGTTTTTTTTGGTGTTATTTTGTATTTATTTTTGTTAATTTTCTTCTTTTTTTTTGGGGGGGGGTATTTATTTACTTCTAAAGTAGAAAAAAATTCGTGTAAAGAATCTAGAACAGCAGCTCAAGAACGTTGATGTTTTTCTTCCATCCACGAAGGTCGTTTAACCCTATCCGTACGCCCTGGGGTCATTTTGTACCCCCGGGGTTGTATTCTTCACATTTTAGAATACTTCTAGTACAAAGGTCACTTTGAAACTTTCAGTATTTCACAAACAATCATTTTTGACAGCGTACGGATCGAATTAACGAGTAAATTTCTATTTTGGAAAGAGGAGGCACAGAGTTCCCCACGTCGTATGGATACGATTGTAAAACACGACATACAGAGGGGATTCAATCACTAAGATGTTGCGTGACATACCCATCCACACCAATGTCTTTGGTGTAACCATCAGGCTCCTCCTGTGGCATGCTGGAGACTGGAGTTCGATTTCCGAGGGGGCAGAGACTGTATTGAGCATCACAGTCTTCCTTCTGGGAAATTGAAATCTTCTGAGATCGGGTTGGCCCTGACAGGCAAGGTCAGAAGCCAGTCTCCTAAAAGACCTAAATTGTATCGATGGGGGCTTGAAAACCCCTACAATAAATATATTAAAAAAAACCAAAACACGTCCCATCATACTTTAAAGAAAAGACAACAAAAGAAATTTATTACACATCCGTGGGGCAACAACAACAACAAACGGCAGACATAGTGGAAGGGAAATAACCGAGAAATTAGTGCCACCCAAACTCTATCACTCCAAGTTATCGTACTTCTCAACTGAATATCTCAGTTTTAGTTTAAGTAAGAGTTTTTCGGCACTTGCAACACAATAAGGTGATATAAGTGCAGAAGATTAGGGTGTTACAAGAGAGTAACAAACCCAAAAAAAGGAGATACAGACGATAGACGTTTGATAGGAAAGAAAAATCAAACCACACCAGAGCACCCCCAACCAACCACTAAATCTGTACTATAATGATACGTATTTTCTTATGTCCATCTTCCATAAAGAGTACAAGAAGTCTATAACACTTTGAATACTGTTTAATTAATTAACGCAGTGAATCCTAGGCTACAAAGCCTTAAAAAACCCTTCCCCTGGGCTCCCAAGCAAAATTCAAGAAAAACAGGCATGCTATTACTTTTGTTTTAGTACTCGTGCAAAATGAGAACATTCAATATCCTACCCCGCCAGGCCATCAAACTTGCTAGAGACAGGAAGTTTTTCCTTTCTTCGACGCCCTAAACTTACAAGAGGACGGATAAAGTAAAGTAAAGTAAGTAAGTACTCATGTAAAATAACAAATAACGCAATAAAATTGTTCCTACTATCCTATCTCCAATACTGCTGCTTGGTGTTTTAATTTGTTTGTCTGTCTACTTCTGGGTAGGTGCCAGATCTAAACAGGTCACCCTAAAGCCTGTAAAAATATCAAGGTCTCGAGGCAAGGGTATTTTAGCTGTATACCAAAATATCAGGGTCTAGGGGCAAGGGTATTTTAACTGTATCCCGAAATATCGGGGTCTAGGGCCCATTGGATTGAGTCTTGAAACTCTAAAGTAGGCATCGGATAACGTTGTTAGTTACCCTTTTAGGTTTGTATCATGAATAGTTATTTTGTATTATAGCACCATACACGTATATTTGTACAACTAATAATTAATCAATAACAATTATTCTCTTGCACATACAGACCATATATCTAATAATTCCTTTTGTTTCATCGTGCAAGTATATATGATTATGTTGAATCATAACGAGTTCAGGCCCACGTCAAAATAATGAAATCAAAGAAACAATCATTTTCTCCTCGAATTGAGCCATTTTCATGGTTTTTCAAAAATTGGGATTGATACTTTTATTTCCTTTTTAAAACACATTACAGCATTAAATTTTACTAAAAAGTACACCCCAAAAAAACAATTCGTTGATTTACAATTCCCAAGGTCACTCAAATTTTGGAGGTCACCAAACTTTCAATGCCATTTTTTTGCTAGTTTTTACCTCTGACACCAGATGATCCTCATCTGGCTTTCAAGATAGAAGGTAACTTCTATCATCAAAAGAAGAGCAAGTGAACAGTCTTATACCAATAAGTACAATAACCCCAACGTCCCCAAATTCACGAGCCTCTGACTCCGCCGTGCCTTGACTCAAAACGTGAACACCATAGACAAATCAACTTGAAACGATTGGGGAAGTTTGGTGAAATCTTTACTTTTAACCCTATCCGTACGCTCTGGGATCATTTTAGAATACTTCAAATACGAAGATCTCTTTGAAACTTTCAGTATTTCTCAAAACATAATTTTGACAGACTGCTGTGCAAAGCGAACAGATCGTATTAACGAGTAAATTTCCTCTTTGGAAAGTGGTGGCACAGAGTTCCCCACGTCGTATGGATACGATAGTAAAACACGATGTACGGATAGTGTTTCAGATTATACCAATAAGTACAATAACCCCAACGTCCCCAAATGCACGAGCCTGTGATTCCGCCGAGTCTTGACATAAAACGTTAACACCATAGACAAATCAACTTGAAACGATTGGGAAAGTTTGGTGAAATCTTTACTCTTAAACCGTCGCATGTTAAAGTCATGGATTCAATTATAATTGTCTGTGCTTTTCTGTTGAGATTTCTTGTCCCATTCGGCCATCATTTCCCCTGAGAAACAGTACAAGAGCAGCCAGCTTCCTAGTTTTTTTTATATTGTGTGGATGAGGGCGTAGATTTATAAACAAAGAAAAGTACTGTTAGTAAACAACGTTTATGGGTAGTTTATTCATTTTAAGGCTCCGTTCGACTTTCATACTTTAAGAAGGATAACTCAAAATTGACTAAGAATTGAAGAGTAATTATCGGTTATCCACCTTCGAAATAGGCAGGCGTCTTAGAAATGGAAAATCGTTGAGTCATTCTACTCGCTCTATTGTCTAAGGTACTGAGCAATTGTCTCATCAGTGTCTGATGAGGATGATGACGATGATGATGATGATGATGGACGTATAATTTGTTTTTTTGAAAACCTTATAAATCTCCTTCTGTTAAAAATCTTTCTTTTTGTGCAATCTACAATGATGAGGATGGTGGCGATAATGATGAAGAATGATTATTAACATTATTCTTCCTTCAGTTGCTGCTGCTGCCGTTGTTGAAGCAGTCGTTCACGATAGTTCAACAGCGCTGAGGAAGATCTTATACGACCATTGGTGGAGGATACGGTCTGCAGTAACTGCAAGACAGACGACACGACAGAGTCTGAGTCTCCTCCCTCGAACTCCCACCGAGGCTCTCTGATCGACGAGACGACGTGAGGAGAGGATTTTGATCCAATCTCCGAGTCCGAATTTCTCCTTATTCGCTGTTCCTGGTTGTGGTTATTCTTTCTACCAAACAACAGAGCAGCAGAAGCAGCATTTCGAGGTTGTGGCGGATTCGTTTTCTCAGATATAGTAGAGACGTTTCCAGAATTCACAAAATCCACTTTGCTAGATTTCATAACCGCACTTCGTGACCGTTGCCGATTCTGGTCAGAATTGTGGGAAACATATCCCTGTCCAGATCCGGTAGATGTACCTCTTCCTATCTTCTCAAAGTTATGTCCCTTGCTGCTCGTTGTCGTATTGTTCTGCTGGGGTTTTGATCTCAGTTCCGTGTTGCTTCGTGATGTAATTGTCTTTGGAGGGTTGGTTTCTTTGTTGTTCTTCCTTGTAGTGTAAGTGTTCTGATGAGGTTTGGATTCTTTGCTGACGTCTGCTGAAAAACACCCAGATCTAGGATGAGTTCCCTGGCTAGATTCCGTTTCATCCAACAAACCTAACAGAGAGCCGTTGACAGTTGTTGTCTTTCTGCTTTTAAAATCAAATGGATGTAAAGAGTGCGCGCGTTTATTTGAAACTGTCGTTGCCGGCTTTTGCAGAGTGCTCTCATTTTTGTGTAATGAATTCTTTTGAAAAGACCTGTTCTGTGAACGTACGTTCGTGGAACTTACAATCTCTGTGGAATGCTTATACGTCGCTCGATGTTTTGAAGCAGAAACGGTTGGCGCCGTGCTCTTTGGTAGGAGTTTTGTATAAGCTGTAGCGCTTTGGCTACGGTTTGTCACTGTAGCGCTTTGGCTACGTTTTGTCACTGTTGCCACGTCCGAGTTTGACGATGACCTCATCGGTCTTATACCAGAAGGTCCGGCTGATGTGGCCCTCCGTCTAGGGGCATGTGTGATCCATCTCTGTGGCACTTTGTACAGTCGCTCCACAACTGTGTCAATGTCACGCCAGCTTTGGGAAGATCAAGAAGAAAGAAAAAAGGAAACGACTTTTAAATGTAGCACAGTAAAACAGGGCGCTTTTCTAATAAATAAATTAAAAACAGTTTTTTGAAACAGAGAAGTACTATAAGTAATACTACAAGATCCATTCATTTACGGCCCTGACAAGGTCATTGAATCTTAAAGCGTGATAACGTCACAAGAAGATGAGTTTTCAAGAACCCTTTCTGTTGATGATAAAGTCCCGCCCCCCCTCCCCTATTCCAAAATAGAGTATCTATACATATTATATTTGTGAAAGTTCGTCACTTTAGCCACCTAAAACTTCCCAACAACTTATCTTTCGAATTTGACCATTGACCAAATTAACGGTGGTTCAGAATCATTTAAAGGGTGCACAGTTGTAATAATATGGAGTCTGAAGTCACTGTAGTTGACCTTTCCGTTTTTCATTTGTTTCGTTTAGATCTAAACTTGGGAGAGTCCATCTTCTTAGACACCATTGTAAACAAGTGAGGCTTCCGTTCTCAAACAGTGCATACTGGTTCTAAAATGACACAACTAGTTTCTAATAATTATTGTGATTTCAAGTCTAGTCATAGATCCAGTCTCTGAACCCTAACACAAAACACACACACACACACACACACACACACACACACACACACACACACACACACGCACACACACACACACACACACACACACACACACGTGCATATATGCATAAACACGCCTATTATTACTCGTAAGTAAAGTTGTTCCCGCATCCGATCCGGACCTTAGGTATTGCCTTGTTGGTGAGACAACTTCCTGGGCCTTCGGCATATTGTGGTATGATTATTGTTAGTACATACTTTTTTAGCAACGTGAAGGGACGTTTCATAACAGCACTGTCGTCTGCTGTGGTATAGCGATAGGAGCTTGGATATTGCACGCACGAGAGCCGAGTTAGATTACTGAGTGGGAAGGAAATGTTTATCGAGTATTTCTTCTGTGTTTCAGCTGTGGTGTTGTATCCCTCTCAGACCGGGTCAGCCCTGAGAGGCAGGATTGAAATCTCCCTCCTAAATGATCTAAAATGTGCTGATGGAGGTGTAAAAACATCTACATAAAAATACGTTTAATAACCGCATACACTAACACATTGTGTTGGGCTTTTTTCTAATTTTCTTTCTTAACACTTCTCTGTATCTTTTTCTCTTTATTATATGTGTCACGACGTGGTGGAATCGAGCGCTCGTCAATTTTGGGGCATCTGGAATTATTGGTATCATCTTAAACTTGTTCATTTGACCATCTTTTGAAGACAAAAATACACGCCTATCTTAGTTATGAAGATGACTTTCAAAGCATGAGGGACTTGGAAATTATGCTATTATCTTCGATTTCATTATTTTCACGAGCACCCGATTTCACCTCGATGCCTAACATTTTTCAGAACCAAGAAGTCTTTGACATTGGGTTCTCTGTTCAAGACATTATGTCTTTCTTCCCAAACAAAACACATACCACATCAACCAACAGCACATCATTGATGCCCGTAAAGATTACATACGGTCGAACCAGCTCTAACTGCCACCTGGTCTGCCGTCTTAAACAGTTTTGGTTGTACTTTGTCATGATATAAAATACTCTGACGTCCACTATAATCAGTTTACAAATTGTACATACCTTGTTTTTATGTTCCTGTAAACTACACATGAGGGTGCGGTGGCGGAGCGGTTAGTGCGCTCGTCTCCGAAGCGGAAAGTCCGGCTTCGGTTCAAGCCTCGGTTACGACACGAATTTTTCTCGCCCCCTCCTGCCCAAACAGCAGTAATGGAGTACCTGACTTCGAGTTGGGGAAGTAAAGGCGGCGTGGAAAAGAACTGGCCACCCTAGCACAATATGCCGAAGGCCCAGGAAGTTGTCTCACTAACCAGACAATCCCCAATGTCCAGATCGGATGTGGGAACAATTTTACTTTTTACACTATACATGCAGAGTTTTACATGCAGGGGATGTCAAGATGTATGGTTATGGTTGCAAGCGCCGTAAAACCTCAACTAAAACTAAAGTAGGGTGTAGGCGCTTCGTCGCCAGGAGTGCAATAATTTGTGTAGTGACAATTTTTACCGAGCTTCTCGGTCAATTTGTTGGATGGTGAATCATTCTTAACTTGAGTTGGCACTGACAGGCACAGTATAAAATCGCTTACTACATAAATGATCTAAATCGTATTAGTTGTGGCGAAAAGACACAAAGACGTAATTTTTTAAAAGACACACACACAAAAAATAGAAAAACCGCAAACAAACAATCGATAAACGAATCAAAAACTGTTTTTGGGAAGAGTTACCTGTAGACATGCCAGGTACCCGGTCTATGGGGTGGGATCTCGGGGTAGCAGTGGTGTAGGTAAGGGCGATCACCCAACTGCTCGAGTCTGTGTCTATGTTGCGCTAGGTACACCTGACGGAACAAAGGCGTTGGCGGGATATACAGGAAGGGGAAAGACAGGAATGCAGAAACAACAGTATGCTAAAAAGACAGGCAGACAATTAAATGCACACGTACACAAACATCTGCACGTGTGCACACACATACACACAAACTCATTTATATGCACGTATACAGATACACACACACACGCACACACACACACACTCTACACAAAAACTCATTTATATGCACGTACACAGAT